GTGACAACAATGCACAATTTCCAGAGCTCATTTTTATAGAATTATGCAATAAGATACTTTTTAGAGCATTTTTAAACTCCAGAACAATTTGGGTTATTATTATGCCCAAATTTGCCCCGCATAAAACCGAAGAATATATATAAGTGRTAATGATTGATAATACTTCTGGCCTCAGATAAAATGGCGGAACTTTGATTCACGTCTTATCAATAGTTAGCAATCTAGTTTATTGTATATATCTGTGTCTCATCATTATCTTATCTTATCTTATCTTATCTTATCTTATCTTATCTTATCTTATACTCACCCTTATCTTCATCCGATATAATATTATACCGAGGTCACAACATTATTATTAGGTTTATTATTATTATTATTATTACGACAGAATAATTATATAACTTGTTAAATGTATATAATTATATTATACGTCTCCTAAATTCGTATACAAATGTCGACTATTAAATAATAAAACCTTATAAATATAAAATATTTCATCATCTCGTATTTGCGAGAATAAACCTTATAATAATTTTTAAATAATATATTTTTTAAAACCAACTCATTGCTCGGACAAAATAATTATATAACTTGTTAAATGTATATAATTATATTATACGTCCCTTAAAACTATAGGATCTAGATAAAATGAAAATAAAAACATATTTTTAAATTTTTTTATTGAAAACAAGACATAAAAATATTTATTTATTTTTTTTAAGTTACATTATACATCACCCGAAAAACAAGCTTAAGTGGGTACGAATTTAATAATAAAGCTTTTTTTACTCATCCCCCGAAAAATGAGGTTTACCGGGTCAGCCTCATGTTGATTGTACCGTTGTATTTCATCACTCGGCAATTGCATCGACTTGGGGAGAAATACGTTGATTATCCCACCGCCAGCCGGATCTTGTAAGACGCATGCCACAGCCGTTCCAAATTTCGTCTCCACATAATTAATCGATTGTACACGCCACACGGTATTCGATGTCCTTTGTCAGCTCCCCGATAGATAGATTCAACACGTTCGTCTGCCGCTGGAGCGAATTTAAAACATCCATAATTAACTGTGAACAGAAAAAAATTTACGTTAGAAAAAAAGTAAATTATTTAAATTAGTTGAATTAACTCACTTCTTTAATTAGACGACGTGTGTGTAGAGTCGTGTGATGAAGTCGTCTTGATATGGTTGAATGATTATGAATTCAGAACTAAAAAAAATAAAAAAAATATCGTCCGTTAATTTTATATAAGATATAAAAATTTCTCACTGACATTAGACTTTAACAAGACATTAGTCTCGTGTAATACGTCAGAATATAATAATAATAATTAAATAAAACTCACTTTATTCGTACGGAGGCGTTGTAATATTTATGTTTTGAACTGGCGAGTGATGACATCTGGAGAGGTCTGCTTAGTGCTGTAGAGAAAATAGGATTGATTCAATATTGAGTGGACAGCGGACATGTGTCCAAAATTATCGTCGTCGACGGCCACCCCCACCTATATCGTTCGGCGTGGGCAATATTGAACGGGTACACCGATTGATATACATGCATGTGTAAATTACAGTGAAAAAGGTCGATCCTCGAGCGGATCCTGCGCGTAGCGCGTCGTATATCTAGCGGTATGTATTGTCCGAACCACATGTGACTGCAGGCGGATTACCGTCACAGCGAGATGATGATACTTTACACCCTCCGTCTATAAGGTCRTCCAGATGCGGCTAACGAATACGATTATTTGTGTGAAAAACTCGATATTCGTAGACATTATATTATGTATATGTATCTACTTGGAGACTATATAGTGTATACAGAAAAAAATTATTTTTAAAAATCATGTTATGGAGTGCGAGGTCGTTTGTGTGACGCCGACCAACCATCAATCCCAGATGTGGAGTATATACATGTTATACACACAAGGATATAATATGCGTAATAAAACTCTTTACACGATTATATAATATAATATRCATTTATTTSAGAAATATTATATACAAAAATTAAATGGTATATCACATTATTTTTACATATTATTTTTAAACCATTTAAGTAATGCAAAAACTCGATTATATCTACATTGTGCACTATCTAAATTCATATGGTATAAACAGCACGGTTGTATATTTTTGCCCAGCCCCGCGTGTAGCTGATCGAGTCACGGACAGTCCAAATCCGTGCCCATCTCGACGATTTCGACATTGGGAATGAAGTCTTGAATGATCTGCCGTTTTTCTTCGCCTTTCACGTAAATGCATTCGAAATGTAACGATTTTAAAATCTTTTCTATTTCGGAATACTCCACGTCCCCGCAATCCAAAGACATTTGAAGAAAGTAGTTGCGAAACAACCACAGGTTGACAGMCTTGATTTTAGCCGTAGACGATGTTCGTATGTGTACTAAAAAATCCAGTGTTGGCTAGCCCACCCGTCTATATCAACTATAGACATTTCTTTTATAAAATACTTAGAGTTCGGACCTAGCACGCACTGGATATCCAGAATGGCCGACGGCATCGTATACGCGATTGTACTTGCTATATTATTATATATATATATTATAACGTCTTACTAGCGTCAGGCTTGTATGAATACTGATGATATCCAAAGACTTTATCCTCGAGTGTATCGATCCTGGCGCATGCATCCGTCGAGTCAATTTTCAAATCTCTGATGTTTTTATTAACGATCTCAACGGATTTGATTAAGGATTGTTAATCTTAATTAAGATTTGCTCGACAATCACCTGTCTATGAGCGTAGGGAAGCCATATAGGCTTACCATATAGGCCATATAGGCCTGATGTTTACTGGAGCCGTTCCTTCCGGAATTTTGATTTCATGCTGAATCGCTGTGGTGAACGACAGAGGTTCTCCCTCAAAATGAAATAAATCCTGATATTTTTTACATATTCGTAGGAGGCTGGCTCGCTCCTCGTGATTTAGGTGGTCCATTTGAATTGTTTCTGTTAACCCTTTTGTTCGGMTCTCTTTACCTTTCTGTTCTTCTATTTGATGACAGACATAGGCACCTGATTCTCTGAAGATTTCATGTTGCACACCCCCCAGCCAGGGTGGAAACAATTCGATGGGATCCTCTGACGTGTTTATTACAGAGACCAATATCTGTCCATCCTTTACATGATTTCCCGATAAAATCCCTTTTTCTCCGATGTTCTGCGCATGGATTATTAAGGTTGTYCCATCTTCCTTGTCTGTCAAGACGGGTATGAGTGTTTCCGAACGTGGTTGGATAATCTGAGGTTCTGGAGGTTCTGGATTTGAAGATTCKGTCGACAATGTAGAGGTTCTGAAGTTAATATTTATTCCATTGTCTCGGAGAAATGGAGCGCCCAAAATCCCTGCTTCTGATATAGGAAAGTTGTCATGCGTGACCTGGAACCCGGCAGTTGTATCTTCCGTTCCAAGTTGGATTTTTAAAGTGACTGATCCTATGGTGAACACTGGCTGTGAATTTATACCTGTTAGTTTGTAAATAGTGGTTTCGTCCACCAGTATATTTTTCTTCAGCTCTGAAAGTTTTATCATATTTACGTCACTACCAGTATCCACCAACAATCTTACATTTTCCTTTACACACTGTGCAATCCTGAGCGAGGTCGTATTGTCTATTAATGCTGCT